CACCTTGTCAAACCATGGCGATGGAGAACAGGAGGTGGGGTGAGATGAAGCAAGGGCAGAAAGGAGCATTTCAGCACGTGGCTCTCGCGGGCTACTTATGCAGGGGCTGGTGAGAAACTGATTCCAGAACTGAATAAGACAGGGACATGTTTCAGGGCAGAAGGAGGCACTGAGTTGGGATCCTGTGATGTTTCCCACACTGAAGACCTGGCAGCTTCGGAAATAATTAGAACTAATATGTTTGTTGGTGGTATGGTGTTTTGCAGGCTTAAAAATAATTTCTTTCTCTGTCTCCTTTCATCGCCTGATGAAGGTTAATATTCCTGAGGATGCCTATGTGTTTGTCTTTGGATTCACCTTATTTAGCTTCTCTAGGAACATGAATTATAGGCTCAATGTCCTTTATTTATGGCTAGAAACCAAGTATGAGTGAGTACATCCCATGTTCCTCTTTTTGGGTCTGGCTTACCTCACTCAGGATAGTGTTTTCTATTTCCATCCATTTGTATGCAAAATTCAAGAAGTCCTTGTTTTTTACTGCTGAGTAATACTCTAATATGTATATATTCCATACTTTCTTCATCCATTCTTCCGTTGAAGGGCATCTAGGTTGTTTCCAGGTTCTGGCTATTACAAACAATGCTGCCATGAACATAGTTGAGCATATACTTTTGTTGTATGATAGGGCCTCTCTTGGGTATATTCCCAAGAGTGGTATTGCTGGATCCAGGGGTAGGTTGATCCCAAATTTCCTGAGAAACCGAAACACTGCTTTCCAGAGTGGTTGCACAAGTTTGCATTCCCACCAGCAATGGGTGAGTGTACCCCTTTCTCCACAACCTCTCCAGCAAAGGCTATCATTGGTGTTTTATATTTTAGCCATTCTGACAGGTGTAAGGTGGTATCTTAAAGTTGTCTTGATTTGCATTTCCCTGATCGCTAAGGAAGTTGAGCATGACCTTAAGTGTCTTTTGGCCATTTGAAGTTCTTCTGTTGAGAATTCTCTGTTCAGATCAGTGCCCCATTTTATAATTGGGTTGATTAGCCTTTTACGGTCTAGTTTCTTGAGTTCTTTATATATTTTGGAGATCAAACCTTTGTAGGTTGCAGGGTTGGTGAAGATCTTCTCCCAGTCAGTGGGTTGTCTTTTTGTCTTAAGGAGACGGAGACAGAGACCCACACAGGAGCACCGGACAGAAATCTCAAGGTCCAAATCAGGAGCAGAAGGAGACGGAGCACGAGCAAGGAACTCAGGACCACGAGGGGTGCACCCATACACTAAGACAATGGGGATGTTCTATTGGGATCTCACCAAGGCCAGCTGGCCTAGGTCTGAAAAAGCATGGGATAAATCCGGACTAGCTGAACATAGCGGACAATGAGGAATACTGAGAATTCAAGAACAATTGCAGTGGGTTTTTGATCCTACTGCACGTACTGGCTTTGTGGGAGCCTAGGCAGTTTGAATGCTCACCTTACGAGACATGGATAGAGGTGGGCAGTCCTTGGGCTTCCCACAGGTCAGGGAACCCTGATTGCTCTTCGAGCAGATGAGGGGGGGGGGACTTGATCGGGGGAGGGGGAGGGAAATGGGAAGCGGTTGTGGGGATGAGGCAGAAATCCTTAATAAATAAATAAATTTAAGAACAAAAAAAAATTTCTTACATTTATTTACTTAGTGTGTGATGTTGTTGGTGTGTGTTGGGGGTGTGAGTGGTTGCATGTGTAATGGGGTGTTCATGTGGAGGTCAGAGGACACCCTGTGGGGATCACTCCTTTCATTCCACTATGTTGGTCCCAGGGATTGGACTCAGATCCTTAGGCTTGGTGACAAGAGTCTTTGCCCACCAAAGAAAACTTTGGAGTTTTCAAAGCACGTCCACATACCTTACTCCACAAGACTCAATGAGTTATGATGCCTCAGTTTTGCTAAATTAAAAATTAAATATAGGTAATTATCTTTTCTAAGGATCATTTTAATGAGACTTGTCTTGAGTTCAAGGACAGGACTGAGGTCATGGGGGCTCTAAATAATTCTGTGAAGATCAGTAGAATGTTCCTTGTGATGTAAAAAGCAGGAAGTGTTGATTGCATTCATTTTATATAGAAGTCTGATCACAGCAGTTAAACTCTTGAGACTTGGATCAAAATGAAGAGATTCACTTGTTGAGAATTATTTCCCCATTTCTTGCTAATTTCACTGTGGAAATAGCTTATTAACAACACGAGAGAGAGAGAGAGAGAGAGAGAGAGAGAGCGAAAGAGAGAGAAGTTATTTTTGTCAAATAAGTGGCTAATAAGAATTACTATTAACAATTTAATACAGACAGTTGGAGAAATGGTATTAAATAGTACCCATTTGAAAAGCAGGCATAAAATTACTTTCTATTAAATACTGCTTTATCTGAACCTGGTAGAATACAACATCATATCTTTGATATCAGATGTTGTTATTATTACTATAGATATTTTTCAGAGATGAAAATTAGCAGAAACCAAAGGGGATTTTTAGAAGAGATGAAGAATAACCAGAAGGACCGGAACCACTTCAGTTTGCTTTCTGCTCTGACCCTGACATCAATGTGTCCCTGACATCCCAGGGTTTTGCCAGGTTCCCCTGCTGCCTCCAGTCACACGGAGAAGCAATGGCAGGTTGTGTTTGTTTTCTTTCCTCTATTTTGTCCTTAGTATTTCATTTCACCTAGCCACCCCTGTGAACAGTCAGCCAAGGAGTTGGAGACCCAGACTCTGGATTAGGGTTCCAGTTGGAAGGCCTGGATTAGGGCTCAGCCCACTGCTCAAGTGGTGCAGGCCTCTGGGCCTCTGAGTTTTCAGAGCAAATTCTCAGCCAAGGGAACTGACATACACAGACCTCGCTTCTATGATGCAACAAAATTCATTGAGAACTTCCCAAATTCTATTATATTTAAAATTATCACCTTTTCAAAACTGTGTGTTGTACACAAGCCAGTCAAAGATTATGTTTTTGTTTTATGTTTGGGCAGGTAAAATATATGTCAGCTGTCTTGTAGTCTTTTTAGGCTTATTTATTTATATCTGTAGCCATGATTTTCATGGGGTCTCCCCTGATCAAACATGCAAATATGATCTCTGTTAATCTTGAATGAATCCACAGTCTTTTGTTTTCTATGGAAACAAAAGCATAACCTCCTCCCTATCACAACGTATTTTTGACTTCCATTTTGAAGACATTTTAAAAATCTATAAGTTGGTTTAATTTTGCAGTTTTCATAATCCACTGTCTCTCAGCCGCTATTGTTTGCCTATCTAAGACACCACACAGAATCCAGACGCTCTGTGAATTTCCCATTTTTATGTGGCTAACTTTTTATATTATTTTATTCTCTTTAAAAACTTTATTTTATTATTTATAAACTATTTTTCTATGTGTCTATACTCATTTTTTCTCACTGAAGCCTATGTACCTTTTTAAACACACTCTAACCTGTTTAGAGCTTTCTTCAATCTGGATCTGTCTTTGCTGAGCATCGGTAGTCTTCTTAGATTGCATGAGACAAATCTTAAACTACTAAACAGCTGCCATACTGCTCAGCTCAGTACACGGCACTGGCGGCTCCAGACTGCAGGCAGCATCTGGTAGCTGCATTTCTGTACACCACCAAGCCTACCAAAGAGCCTGTGGTCACCAGAAAGCCAAATTTGACTCCACGTTCCAAACTTTATTTATTTTTGATGCTTTCTCAGGCCTTATGTGGATATATGTGGCCAGACGTTGGTTAGCAAATGTAGACAGACTTTTCTTTGGGCTGCCAGCTCACAAAAAATAACACGGAGACTTGCTATTTATTTGGTAAGCTCGACCTATAGCTTAATTTGTTCCACTAGCTCTTACAACCTCACCCATCTATGTGTGGCCATGTGACTAATAGCTTCACCTCTCCTCCTACATGCCTTGCTCCCTCTGCATCCAGCTAACGACTTCTTCTTCTGTCCCCAGACCTCTCCTTCCTCAGAAGTCCCATCTAACGTCTCCTGCCTATGTAATGGCCATTCAGCTCTTTATTAAACCAATCACAGTAACACATCTTCACACAGTGTAAAGAAATATTCCACAACATATTGTGAATGGGATTATTTTTCTGTGTCATCTTTAAACACTTTTTTTTTCTATCTATGAAAAAGGGTTGTTCTCTTCAGCACTCCAGGGAGAAAAACATTGCATTAATTATTAATTTTTATGGTGGTACTATAATTTAAATACTTTGTAAAGAACTTCAAAGTGCCATTTTATTTTTTTTATTTAAATTTATTTATTTATTAAGGATTTCTGCCTCGTCCCCGCAACCGCTTCCCATTTCCCTCCCCCTCCCCCGATCAAGTCCCCCTCCCTCATCTGCTCGAAGAGCAATCAGGGTTCCCTGACCTGTTTAATACACACACAAACACATATTCACATGTTCACCATCAGGTCCAACTAAGTTTTACAATATAAAAAAAAAAAGCACTATCAGATCCTCCTCTTTCTTCACTAAGATCTTGTTTTGCTGGTTTTGCAGTTTAGGAAGTATAGCAGCTTTATATAAGTCATTTGGGACCTGGAAGGCACTTTGGAGAATGACGTCCAGAGACAATGCCACACATCGGAGTTTTTAGTCACCTTATCTTGGCCTTTTTCAAATTTCTCCTGCAGAAAAGCAAAAGCAGAGAGGGCATTTTCGATCCAGTGTCAGGAGAGCAGTTGAGACTTTCGGGAACTACACACAAAGCTATGCTTTTTCTCAAAGCAAAAGCATTAAAAAGCCTCACCAGAGAAACCAGAGCAGAAACAAAGCTCCCCGCCGGCCTCGCCCTCTCGCTCCCGCCAATCACAGCAGGAATGGAACCGCGCTCTAGAGTCCTGGCCAATCAGCTACGTGGGAGCTTCTGGCGGAGGGGCGGGGCGTCCGTTTCCAGAGAAGCCGCGGGCCGGTTACTAGCAACGCTTGGTTCTTCCGTGGCGCGGCTGTGGCCACCGCCGCCCGTTCTGGTGACTCCTCAGCTCTTGCCTCGCGCGCCCTGTCCTCCCTTCTGCCTTTCTGCTCTTCTCTCCGCACTCCCTGCCTGCCGAGGCGACCCAGGACCGGACAGGATCTCGAAGGACGCCACAGCCAGCGCAGGTAGCGGCGGCGGAGGATGACGTCACGACGACGTTGGTCGCCGCGTTCCGGGGCGGGCTCTGAGCGTGGGCCGCGGGTGACCCTAGGAAGCTAGGGGCGCTGGGGAGCGGGGTTACCCGGATGTGAGCTTCATGCATACCCTTGGCAGGTTAAAAAAAAAGTTAAGAATTATTGAACTTCAAGTATTTGCTTAAACTTGTATAGGACGGGCCTTTGTCTCACCACTAACAAGTTGTACAAAGTGCAGTGTTTGTCAGTTGGTCATGCTTTGCACTTAACTGAAAACGCTTGGACAGCACCTGGTTTCTGCAAAAAACCCTTACTCAACTGAAATGAGAGTTTAGTTTATAAAGATAGGCTATATTTTATATTAAAGGAAAGTGTTCCATTTTGTGTAGCGGACAAATATTTTTGTATTAAAGTATTACATTTTGCTCATCTAATTTTGGTTATAGAATTGTCACAACACAAAAACAGTGAAGTGGCTTTGAACATGCGGATAATCTTCGTGTTGGTGAAGATGATTTCTTGTAACTTCTGTGGGCGTTTCTGACACTCACCCAGTTCCCAGCCTTGTGTTTTGAGGATTCTGTAATGATAGTCTGCTGAAGTCATTCTTAGAGCCCATCCTACTTCCATTTCCTCTTGTGAGAAGATACCTTGAAAGCAGTTTTGAGAAAGAAAACTTTATTCACACTTGCAGATTACAGCTCATCACTGCAGTGAAGGCAGCAGGAACTTAAAGCAGCTAGAAACATCCATAACCAGGAACAGGGGAAAACTGAGTGCATGCTGGCTTTTATTTAGCCCGGGTCCAGCCTATAGTATTGTGCCACCTATAGTCTGGATGGTTCTTCCCACCTCAATCCAACTGAGACAATCCCAGACAGGCATGTCCACTAACCAACCAGCCTAATCAAGACTGTTTCTCATGGAGACTGTCTTCCTACTCATTCTAGATTGTGTCTGGATGATAATTAAAATTAACCACCACAGATTCCCATTTTTTACCACACATTGACTTTATTTACCATTACAGATGTAGTTAATAATTGTAGGTGGTGAAGCACATTTTTGCTTTATAATTTGTCTTATGCACACTCACTAATAGCCCGGAAAACTACCTGAGAACTCACTTAACGTACTGATTCCCACATGATTCTCGTTTTAGAAAGTATTTCCTAAGAACGGAAGGTCCCTATCATTTCATGCTGGTTTAAGTTTTACTTCTAAATATAGAAACCATTTTATTTTGTTTGTTTTAATCCCTCAGAAAGGTCGGTCAGGGGACAGAAAAGTGAAAGCAGTAGTCTGTCATACTCATTGAGAGTACTACGCCTTTCCAGGCACTGCTTACTTTTCCACGGCTTGTAGACATTTGGGAATCAACTATAAATAAGACATTTTTTTTTCTCTAGATTCTAGCCCGTGGAGAGATAAACATTTAAACACGTGGATGAGTAAAAGATAAATGCGAATTCTTCCTTGAAGAGCTGAGGTGGTTACAAACCAAACAGACGCACAAATGCGTTTGTGGTGACTTGGCAGAGCGTGTTCTTCCTTAGCCTATTTTGGCTTTTCGTGTGATCTGTATGTTTGCACTTCTTCTGGGCTGTAAATACCCTTGTGTATTCTCTGCAGTGTGATGTTGTAGTAACAGATGTTGCACAATTCAGAAGCCAGAGATCCAGGGAGAGTGACACAGGATCTCTGGGTTAAAATTCCTTCTGAATTTTAGCTACTAAATATTTGTCACGCATTGTACATAGAAACATCAGACAATTTAATGCAGTTTTTGCAGGTGAAACCATGCCCAGACAGCAGTTGTGATTTTGATATTGTCTTTGAGACGCTTTATACATAACTGGGTCTTTATCTCAGAGGGTAACAGCAGTAAGGAATGATGTGTGATAACATACGGTCCCTAGCTTTAAGCATCCGTGAAAAGTTGCTGAAGCACCTAGAAGAGAGCTACTGAGTTGATGGAGATTCCTACTAGTGATGGAAGTTGCTCAGAGGGAACCTTTTCCTATCTCACACCGGAGAGAGGACGTGTCCTACAGTGTGCTAGTGGGAGCCACCTCAGCAGGTATCCAAACCTCATTTCCTAACTTCCATATCAAGTGCAGTAATCAGTCAGGAGTGTCCTCACATTTAGTCTTCAGTCGTTAAAATATACCTATATAACCTAATTATAAAAGTACTTATTTAGCAGTTTAGAGCAGTTGCCAGTCTTTTTAATATATTTTCTATTATTTGTTTGTTTGCTTTACTTTTTGAGACAAGACCTCACTGTGCAGCCTAGGGTGATGCTGAATTCTCAGGCCTTTCTTACCCTGGGGTTACAGGTGTATGGTTCAAGTTTTTATTCTTAATGAAAGCAATAGGAAAGCCAACCAATTCTATTAAAACTTTGTAAAGCAAATATTATTGCCTGGTATATTATTGTGTAACAAATGATTATCTTGTTTTCCTTTGTTTGAATTGTAAATTACTTGTTATTTGTGTGAGTTAATATAGTAATAGTAATCTTAAAATGTCATTATTGTCATTATGGGTAATATAGTCTAGTGTCTAGGTTAGCTGGCAGAAAGTAGAAGATGGTGTTTCACCAAATATAATTGTTGATTTTCAGACCGTGGTTTTGAATGAAGGACAGTTTATCATAAGCTTTTTACTTTAAGCCAGTGGTATTTAAGAACAAAATTTTCTCCTTGCCATATATGTAAGATGCCAATAATTTTATTTTCGTGTGTGTGTGTGTGTGTGTGTGTGAGAGAGAGAGAGAGAGAGAGAGAGAGAGAGAGAGAGAGATAGAGAGAGATATTTGTGCTGTGTAGGTCAGAGGACAATGCTGAGAGTCTGTTCTGCACTCCCACCATGAGGTCCGGGGTCTTAGCAGATCTCCAGGCTGCATGGCTTGAGCCTTCCCCTGCTGAGCCACCTTCCTGCCCCATCAGTTCTAAATACAACATTCTGTAAAGAAACAGTGCGATGCTCTCACACTTGTTTTGTTTATAAATACTGAAAAAGCTTCTTTAAAGTTTAGGGATTATAGCTTTTTATTTATTAAAAATTTAAAGATGTATTTGATTTATATATATGAAAATTTTGCCTCCATGCATGTGTGTGCTCTACATTCATACGTGGTGCCAATGGAGGCCAAACAAGGGAGTTGCAGACAGTTGTGAGCCACCATGTGGGTGCTGAGACTAGAACCTGGTTCCTCTGGAGGAGCACCAGTGCTCTTAACTGCTGAGCTGTCTCTCCAGCCCTGTAGATAAATTTTAATTGCTCATAACTTATGATTCCATAAAAGCAGAATGTAAGTAAAATGAATTATTATCTTCTGTATCCCAGGCCCACCTCTTTTTCGTTTCTTCTCAGCTCACATTTGGCCTGGACACCTATAGTCCTGATGATAAGGCTTCCCCTAGGGGCATCTGTAAATCAAATTAATGGCAGTCTGCAGGCAGGCTTGTCTGTTCTTATTGTACATTAAAAAGTTTCCAGTTTGTGTGTTAGATGTAACTGAAAGTTTATTTGTCTGTATTAGCCTCAAGCAAGACATCGTAAATGAAAAGACAGAGCTAGAGGCAGCGCTTAAGGAAGCTGAGTCGGCATCCTCTTCAGTCGAATTACTTTTGCCGCTATTTAAGAACACCGTGGAAGGAATTAGTTTAGAAAATGTGAGTATTGGACTTGAATGGCTAATGAGATGGAAAGTGAGCAGAACATTCAGAATGACCTGACTAGGGACTCAAATCTTAATGGGAATGCCCACATATGGGTACATGATACCAAAAATTGGGCTGGGGGACAGTGTTCTTTATCCTGCCATTAAAAGGCAGAAATCTCTCAGACATGCACCTAGTAAGAGACTGAGCTGGAAACTGCAGATTGATGTGTGGCTTACCTGACCTTGAAACAGAGAAGGAGATTTTCTGAAGAGTTCATTTAAAACTACAACTGCGGACTGCAGAGACGGCCAGGGGTTAGCAGCACTGGCTGACTTCTGGAAGACCATCCCTCCAGTTTCAGAAGCTCTGATGCCCTCTTCTGGATTCCACGGGCACCAGGCATACGTGGTGCACGTACAAACATGCAAGCAAAATACTCATTTATATAAAATAAAAATAAATAGGTCTTTAAAGAATAAAATTCTGAGAGATGCCTTTACCTGTTTTCTGTGGTGTCATTTGGAGCAGAAGATGGCTAAACTCCATTTGGGACAAGAATAGATAGCACTCTGTAGTTTAGTAGAACAAATACTGCAAAGCTGTGGAGTTGTCCAGCTTATTCTATTTTAACACACCTCATAGTGCATCCTGTCCACTATGGGTAAACTTGTCAAGGCTCACCAGCACTACACACAAAATAATGATTACAGCTGACACTAGGAAACAGTTCCTCATTCCAGCGTATTTTACTTAGTGTTTTCTTAACATGTGTATATGTGCTTTTTTTATTTTGTCAGGTTAATCTTTCTGCATCCAGTTTGAAGAAGATTTTTGAACAGCAGGAAATATTAGCAAAAGAACTAGACACTTTTAACCGTGTGAAATTAGCCATAGAACAACTTCTCAAACAGACACACTACGAACAAGTAAGGCTCCTGTGCCGTGTATTCCCATGTCCTGTGTTCCCGTGCCGTGTGCCCCCATGCCGTGTGCCCCCATGCCGTGTGCCCCCGTGCCGTGTGCTCCTGTGTCCTGTGTTCCCGTGCCGTGTGCCCCCGTGCCGTGTGCTCCCGTGTCCTGTGCTCCCGTGTCCTGTGTTCCCGTGCCGTGTGCTCCTGTGTCCTGTGCTCCCGTGCCGTGTGCCCCCGTGCCGTGTGCTCCCGTGTCCTGTGCCCCCGTGCCGTGTGCTCCCGTGTCCTGTGTTCCCGTGCCGTGTGCCCCCGTGCCGTGTGCTCCCGTGCCGTGTGCTCCCATGTCATGTGTTTTTTTTAAAGATACATAAAACACAGAAATCACAGCAAAATATATAAATGTGATTACATCAAACTAAAAAGCTTCTAAATAAAGTAAGATAACAGCATGGAGACAGTCTACAGAATAGGAGAAAATATTTGCAGGCTTCTTGCAGAGTTGATATCGGTAGAAAATGAGCTCCCAAACTTGACAGTAATCATGCTTAAAACAGACATGTGTGGTTTTAAACACTGGTATTCCGCATCTCCCTCACAGACAGGAGAGAGCCCGCCCAGCTTGTTGAAGGACCTCAGTGACAACGAGAGCGAGAATGCTGTGAGTGTTTTCCACTTGACAGCCTCTTTGTGACGCTTTTGGCGTCTTTGTATACTATGTGGTGTTAGCTGGCATTAGTCACGTTCTGAATTTCTCATTCTTTGTATTTCCTGAAGAGTCTTAAGAAGAAGGTGCTTGAAAAAGACACCTATATCCAAGAGCTTTCATGTCTGTTTCAGAATGAAAAGGTAAACACATTCTGATTTTTAACCTTAACTTCTATTTTGTCAGTATTGACCCCCTTTCTCTTCCTCCCACCCTGCTCTGGAATCCTCAGTCATGAGCACAATTGAAGATGTTTTGGCAGTTTAGATCAGTGTTGATTTTTATGTATCAAATAGAGCACCTTAACTTTTTAAGTTTTCTGTTTGTTTAGTTTAGTTTTGTGCTGCTTAGGCTCCTTGGCGTAAACCACCACAAATTCTGTGCTGGGTTGGGCGATGGGCCAGTCGGAAGAGCACAGCCTGAGCTTAGTCCCCAGAACCCTTGTAATTCTGGCCCTGGAAAGGGAGAGGCGGGAGGAATCCCTGGAGCTGGCTGGCCAGCCAGACTAGCTGGTGAGCTCCAGGGCAGTGAGGGGCCATTCACAGGAGCTGGATCATGGTCCTGAAGATGACACCCAAGGTATTCCTGTGATCCCACACACATGTCATATTTGTGCGTGTGTATGTATGTGTCTCTACACCTGTACACAGCTGGCAACACCTGCCATATACACATGCACATCTTAAAACTATACATTGATATTTTTGTTTCTTTGGAAAAATTAAATAGTTTTGTTATATGGAGGAACATATTGCACAGACTTTAAGTTTTACTTGGGAGGAGAGATGGGAAGGTTTGTAGGAGAAAATCAGAAGTCACTGGGAGCTTTACCTGCAGTTTTATATGAGAGGAGTGCCCTGCTTCAGTGTCTGCTCAGCTGCAGTCAAACTCTGGGCTCTAACAAAGACAAAGGGACACTGTAGTTATTATCATCATCTTTCTTTTCTGTTACAGGAAAGTGCTTTGAAAGCAAACCGGTTTTCTCAGTCAGTCAAAGTGGTACATGATCGTCTACACCTCCAAATTCAGAAAAGGGAGGCTGAGAACGATAAGTTAAAAGAGCATGTAAAGGTTATGAATATCCATTTTATAGTCTCAGGAATAAAGTGAATGAAAAATCTAACTTTAACAGCCTGGTTTAATTGTGGAATTCAGTGATAATAAAAGTATGTGATTTTTGTGTTTCTGTGGAAAACACTGAATGTAAATCTAACCTTCTGAATATGTAGGTTCAGATCACTGTATGAAAATGTTTCTCTTTATATTTCAATCTAGGAAGAATGTTTTTCTTTATATTACTAGTTCTCTAATAATGATATGGAAACTTGTTATTAATTGTGAAAGCTTGCCCTTAGCTTAGGCTTATTCCCAACTAGCTCTTAAAACTTAAATTAACCCAACTCGCTCTTAAGTTATCATTAATACAATTAATTTATATTAACCTACAGTCTGTCACATGGCCCATTACCGAGTTAGTACCATCTGTCCAACTTCCTCTGCATCCAACTGACCAATCTTCTGTTTCAGATTCTTTCTCAGAGTTCCTGTCTCTGCCTGGAAGTCCTGCCTGTCCTCTCCTGCCTAGCTGATGGCCATTTAACTCTTTATTAAATCAATCAGAAGGTGCCTTAGGCGGGTGAGGTTGAACAGAGACATGTTGTCACATAGTATACAGAAAGATTATCCCAGCAGAGACTTTAAATCTTTCTCATCGTACAGTTAATTTGTGTTTATAATGGACACTTTTGTAACTTATGAAAACATAAGTTAAACTAGCTTAAGGACACTGAAACGATTGTTACCATTTTGCTGCAGAGCATTCTGGTCTTTTTCCATGCCCAGGTAGCCTTTTAGGGTATTCTCACATGTATCTAATAGGCAATCAGTAAGTTGTTTCTTTTGCTGCCAGTTATAGAAATTGGGAAAGAGCTTAGTTTTGTGTTTAGTGCACTGAGCAGCTCCCTTTGTATTTGCGCAGTGAGAAGGAAGGCTTGGTTTAGAAAGGTGTCCAAGCCACAGTCGGTTTGAGGTCAGAGCCTGAGGGTGCTGCTATGTGTCACAACTTAATTGGACCACTGTCTTACTTTTTGCCAAAGGAAAAGCAACAGTGTTCCTACCTCCAGAGACTTCTGCAGACCAAGGGTGAGGACGTCTAGGTAGACCTCAGCTAGTTCTTGTCCCGAATCCAGAAGATATCTGCAACCTGTAGCACCTGCTTGTCCTTCAGTGGCAAAGAGCTTTTGCCTTTCTAAGGGCATTAAGCAGGTTTATGGAAGACGTAATTTTTTTAAATTAATTTTGTTCTTTGGCAATTTCATACTTGTGTCTGGTATATTCTGATTACGCTCCCCCTGGCTTCTGCTATCTCTTTTCTGTCCTTATCACCCCCTCCCCGTCCCTACCACCCCCTTCCCTAGATGCCTAATGTTCAGTGTTGCTTTCATTTTAACCCTGGCCATCTGCGTGGCCATCAGAGTCTGGCAGTGTCAGTAGTGGTAGCCTATTGAAGGCTTTGGTTTCCCCTTTCCTGGACTCTGTTAGTAGGAAGGAGTCATTCCTTCTCAGTACCTGTTCCTCCCAGAACCTCCCGCTGTAGCCGTGCTGGGTCCTCTTGGCTCTGCAGGGTGAGGACACAGGCTGGTGTGCGTCCCAGGGTTGTGTAGGCACCACAGGCAACAGTGCGACCTAACCTGCCAGTCCACTTCAGATTGTCTTTCACGGTCTAGTGCCCTCAAATGGCAGCTGAGGATGTTTTCTTAGTTCTAAATGAAATAATGAATTATTTTCTAATAGAAGTTTTAGCAATATTTTTTTGCTTTTAAAATCAGGACAGGCTCCAAAGCCACAGAGAAACCCTGTCTCGAAAAACCAAAAAAAAAAAAAAAAATCTACTTGATCAATCTGGAGGCAGAACACGAGGCTAAAATCCAGAGCTCTGCTGTGGCATCCCCATTTTGAGATGATACTGGGTCTTTAAGTAAATGCAAAAACAGCGTAATGTGGTGGTGACACCGTGTGGCCATATGGGGGAATGACTGGTGCGCTCCTTGTGGACGGGTCCTTGCTCACACATGGACTTGACCTTCTAGCTTGTTTTTTCCCTTTTACTCTAGTGCTCCGTGAGCCTTTTTTTTTTTTTTTTTGTCTGTTTAAGATAGATTTGTAGAGGCAGCTGAAGAGGTAGTTGCTGCTTCGGAGTTTACCTAGCCAGTCTGCAGAGACGAAATCCAAAGACGTGCTTCTTAGTTATGCTGGAGAAAGTGAAGGGAGCCATAGCTTTTATTGGTCGCAGGGTCATGTAGAAAAGCCTGTCTACTACTGTGTATCTTAAATTTATTTTTAGTTGAAATGACTGCCCCAGGCAATGAAGCGTCAAGCATGGATTCTGTAATGTCAGATTTAACATATATGTAATTTTAAACATACAGAAGCATAACACTCTCTAGTCATTAGTTCTTACATACTTAATATTCATTAATATTTACAAAGAGCACTTGATGCTCGGATACTTGGGATAATCTGAAAGGACAACGGAACAGTGGTCACACCAGAGCAGCCCTCATGTTCGATGCAGCGTGTGTCGGGAACCGGTCCTGCCATTGGCACTGTCCCACCCAGTGGCTGCAAGCCTGCCTGTGGACACCCGTTTGACCTGCTTCGTCAGACTGTGTGGACCTGGCAGCCAGTGATTCATCTACACTGCCTGGCCGTGGAGTCGTTCGTTTCATGAGTTGCTCTCCTGGTTATACCTTCCTAGTATCAGCGGATGCCTTTTGGTCCTAGAGTTAAGATTGGCCACCAGGTCTCTGCTTACCCTGTCTTCGTCCTCCAAGCCCTGCACATCTTGTCCCCTGAGGCACTCCTGTGTGTTTGTCAAGCTACCAGTTCTTTCTGAGCTTTGCATACGTAGGGTTAAGATCATGTATTCAGCTGTTCAGTGTTCTATTTCATACATGAGCTAAATGATGTCTTATCATTGGGGCTTTAAGGAAGCTGATTTTTTTTTTGGCACAATCACAAATATTAGCCTCTGTAGTCATAGCACATTAGTTTTAAGTATACTGCAATATTTTGAGTTTTCATTTTTTAACTTGCTACAGGAAGTTTTGGCTATGTCACCTCTTATCACTGTTTAACTTTTTAACTATTCATAATTAGTTGTTTAGATAAAATCTGTGTGGAAGGTGGCATGTGTTTTTGCAACATTATACATTGAAGCTTTCATATAATTTAATTGCTTTTATTATTTTTTAGAGCTTGGAAGCCCAAATAGCCAAGTGGAACTTGCAGGTGAAAATGAATAAGCAGGAGGCTGTAGCCTTCAAAGAAGCAAGTCGGGAGAAAGCTGCGGCTCTGCAAAAGGCTTCAAAAATTTACAGACAACGGCTAAAGCACTTTACAGGGGACATTGAACTCCTCACTTCCCAGATCAGAGATCAGGTGAGTGTGCACATTCTTGTGTAAGACGCTGCAGGCATTTAAATACCGGAGTTACGTAGACAGAATAGGTGCATAGCATAGTTAGATAGCATAGTTAGTTAGAAAGTATAGGTAGATAGCATAGTTAGTTAGACAGAATAGATACATAGCATAGTTAGTTAGATAGCATAGTTAGATAGCATAGTTAGATAGCATAGTTAATGTTGTGAAGCTTTACATAATGGTATCATTCTTACCCATCTTACTATAAATGCTATAGAAATTTGCTCAATTTTTTGCTTTATACTTTTATTTTGAAATATGATGTATCATAAAATACATTTTAATTATATAGCACTTTTGAGGTTTACTGTAAGGAAATGTAAATGTATACCATGCCCCCCCCAACACACACACCCCAAAAGCTTTTATGGCTAGCTAAGAGTAAGGCTTCCTCCATCTTGCCCACTGGAAAGATACAGTGCATATTAACATATTAAAGGCCCTGAAAAGGCTCTCAGAAGGCAGTAATGAGAGCATGGAAGTAGGAATTTCCCACACTTAACCACAGAACTCTTCTTGTACCCACAAAGCAGCTCTTGGAAGTGGTTCTGAGAAATATCAGTTTGGAAAATGCTGATTTATGTTATTAGACCATATGACTTTATTCAGTAATTCACTTCATTTAACCTCTGTAATGCATTTGAAGCCATATGCTGACGTAAACAAAACATGTGAAAGATATCTTTGAGTATAACACAGAGCTGAAAAATGGACTTAGGACTTTGTTCTTCTTGACAAATCATTATTCTTATTCAGTTGCCAACCATTAAAATATTCATTGTTTCTGTGGCTCACTAGTATCCCACCTCTTAAGAACGTATGCTAAGGCTTATAGATTTGTTAGTGGCTTTGGGAAATGAAAACAGACTTGTATAAAAGCTTGTACAAACAAAACAAGTTAATATTTTATAAGGTCAAATGTCACCATTTTAAGGCTCTAATATTTAATTTATACACACTTGAGTATAACTGGATATTGAATTGAAGACTAGGCTCAGCCCCTGCAAGGTTGTAACCAGGCTGAATACCTACAGATGCTTGGAGTGGTGGACACCGGTCCTGGCATGATGCTCTCGGCTCTCCCATTGAGTGAGCACTGCCAGAAGCCACGCCAGTTTGGAAAGACTCCTGCACTGGTTAGCCCTGGGCACTTTACAGAGGCGTTCAGCCTCTCTGCCCTTCATTTCTGTAAACTAGGGCATAAGAGCGCTGCTCACCTTGCGATTGTAGGAACATGCATGAGAAAACAGATGGGGTTGCTCTGTGCCTCTCAGTGGTGGAGCCGCTGCCTCTGGCTTTAAGTTCTTCCTTGCTCTTTGTCACTGGTTCTTTTCCCCTTTTCAACTGCCTTCTCTCCAGAGATGGCCTTCCCTTACTACCCACTGTGTAGCAGCCCTTTAACAGTTACTTATAGTGATGTCTGAATTCTATGGTATTTATTTCATACCGCCGCTATCTCATGTTTTACTATCCTCCCTCCTCAAGGATGTCTTAAGCTTGAAACACAAATGAGCAGTGAGACATTTTATTGAATTCTTATTTGGTTTGCCATGCATGTGCATGCAATAATACAGCACAGGGGAATCAAGGAGGTGGTTAGGAAGGGTCTGTGAGGTCTATGGTAATCAGGAGGCTCCCGTAGTGCGAGTTCAGCAGCATTCCAGTGAGGAGGGAGGCAAGGGGCTCTTGCTCTTTGTCTTTCCATAAGGACAGGTGAAAGAAGCAGTGAGAGCTTTACATACCTAATATATACATTCTTTCGATGGATTTAATTCCTCAGTATCTTGTATTATATATATTATAATAGGAACTGACTTTATAATATATGTTATAGCCATCTCTTACTTCATAATTTATATTAAAATTTATTTTGTACAATATATGAAATAAGATACTAATCTTCAGTGTAATAAACATAGACAATGTCTTGTACATAGTAGATGACCAATAAACTCTTTTCTATGAATGAATGATAGAAGGACAGAGGAAAATAGTATGTTAACTGCTGTTCAAACTATTTGTGGGTCCTCTGATTCATGGGTAGCTGGCATTCTTATAACTAGTGAGTTTGCTTCTCTGTAGAATGTGGACAAAGCCACAGAGTGGTGCAAAGAGCCATTGGCATTTACTGTGTGTTCCTGGCACCATTCAAAACTCTGCAAGCAGTGATGAAGAAAACAGACAAAATTCTCCTTTGTGGATCTCACATTCAAGCTGGCTGAGCCATTTTTGCTCCTCTCTGCACAGTAGCAGTGTTGGCAAGCTGATGGGTGACTGCTCAGACAAATAATGCTCGTTCGGAGATGCTGTGGAGTTGCAGGAGTTTCTGTGTGTTGTGGGAAACCCTCTTCTCGTATGTAGGTGGTTGTTAGCTCTTCTGTGTCAAGAATGGAAAATGAAGATGCATTCATAAGTAAAATAGAAATTATTTTGTTAATTGTGAAATATTACTTAAAATTAGTCACATCAACATCATAAAATAGTAAGTTGGAACTTTACTGTGTGTACATAAAGTAATTTTCATTAACACTTATTCAAAATTTTCTTATATTTGAAGCTGCACACCTAGTTTCTCTACAAGAAAAGTTGCATGCTTTGCTGGAAGAGTGTTTTCCTATTTATAGTATATTTGTGTCTAAAACCTGTGAAAAACACTTTTAAGTTACAAGATGAATGCTTTATGTATTTTTAGGAAGCCAAGTTGTCTGAAATGGTTTCAGCTTCCAATGCCTGGAAGAGTCATTATGAGAAAATTGTAATAGAAAAAACCGAGCTGGAAGTTCAGATCGAAACAATGAAAAAGTAAGCAAGAATTTAGATTGTCATTGTCTAATGAGAGGCGACTCAATTGTTCCCTAACACTGCATGTCTTGGCTCTTCTGTCTGTGGTAAAGGTGTTGTTGGTAGTAACTAAGCTGTTCTTCCTCCAATAGAAACCAGAGCTTACCCCTTAACTCACATTGCTATTCCCATTTCAAAGGCAAAACTTATAAATAGATACTTCGTTCCAAGTAGAAGTGACGTTTGTCAATTAAACAAGGATATGAACAAAACAAATTTTAAAACATGTTTCACAGTTCTAAAAATTATTATCCCTTAATCCAAGGGACTAAAGTGTGTAATGGAGAAAGTTAATGAGTAAAGTGTGAACATCTTGTTCGTTGGCACTGCCGCTAAGGGACAGTAGCGGACCCTAAGGTTTGCTCTGAGTTTTGTTTTTGTGCTCTTGTGCTTTATCATGGAAAACTAACAGGTAATTTGCTTCTAAAGATGAGGTGTCACTGCCTCCCCTGATCCTTCCTTTAAACTTGTCTTCGTGTGTGTGTATGTGTGTGTGTGTGTGTGTGTGTTTGCATGTGTGTGTGTGAGAAGGACAGGCAGACATGCATCCTGTGGGCTGTGGTAGATGGTGTCATCAGTAGGTGAGTCTTTCTAATCCTGGCTGCTTCGAGCACAGCCCTGGGTTACTCCTGTTTCTGCTCCCCTGCTCCGTCCATCCTGCCGCCTTCCTGTACCTTCTCCATTTCAACCAGTGCACCCTACCAGAATGACTTCCAAACCACTCATCGTCTGTTCTCTGAGTGAAATTTTCCGTGTTTTTGCTTCTTTTATAAAGGCAAATCATTAATCTTATGGAAGATTTGAAGAAAATGGAAACTCATGGAAAGAAATCTTGTGAAGAAATTCTTAGAAAACTTCACTCACTTGAAGATGAAAATGAAGCCCTAAATATTGAAAATGTGAAATTAAAGGTAGTGTGTGTGTGTGTCTGTACACACTTAGTAGCAGTAACTTGGAGTAAAAAATTATTGGATGATGCTCATGTATTGTATTGTGTTTCATGTTTCTCATGATTTTGTATTATTAAGGTAAATAATTTCTAGATACACAGATAATGTCTGTGTTCGTGCATATAAGTTTTAAGGTTTTTAGTGAGAATGCAAAAATAAGTTTAAATTGCATCTAGCAGGGCAAAGCAAGGCTTATGAGGCTGAACAACTCTCTCTTTGTCTCAACTTTGAAACAGTTTTAGCTGTGGAACATCCAGAGCTGCATTAGTTCTACTGCACAGAGCTATCTGTAGGTGTCGTGGTCCCCATATGACACACCATCAGGCCAGGTCTGTTTGGAACCCAAAAGTATGTACTTGGCTTCTTTATAACCAGAAAGAATTTGCAGCTGAGCCAACTCCCAGGAGTGACTGGTTTATGTGTGTCCCAGGGAAGGGATGGGCAAGGAAGATTTTGCACTTTGTGAGGAAAGAGGAACCTGAGTTCTTAGACACAGACCCTCCTGTGGCTGGACGGGACTCCACAAAACAGAACTCAGGAAAGAAGCCTTTGAGCCATGCAATTATCACAAAATTCTACAAGATCCATGTTCTAGAAACAGAAATAGAAGTTTAGAAAGAGCAGGAAAGATTTGGATGTCAACCCCACTCCCATCCCCTGGCCAAGGGAACTTCAACACTTACGAAATTCAAAGTCTGGAATCCTGTCATTTTTTTTTTAAATCCATCAATAAATGCCTAAAAAGTCCACCAAAATTTTCCTAATATGAACATAATTTTAAACATCCCATGGTCATAATCATTTCAAGAAAAGGAAACAAGTGTGTTTCTAATGCAAAGAAAAGAAAATGCTTCATTTCTTAAAAGATGAAAATTCCAGAAGTTCTGTTTCATAGTTGTGTTCCTGGAAACTCATCTCCACTCATGCCATGTGCAGCAGCTCCTCGGGGGGCTGGTCTCCCCTCTCCTCCTTGAGCCTGCACCGCCTAGCTTAGTGAGTATCTCTCATTTTGTTAGGATATATTGTTCAAGATTTTTAACTTGGAAGAAGTGCATGTAAAAAGGTTTGGAATATACCTTTTTATGTCTGAAAATTCCTTTATTCTGCCTTCATTTGCCTGCCTTCAAGTAGATACAACATCCCAGGGAGAGGGTCTTTTGTAGTTAGAGTTGTTAATAGAAAACAATCTGTTACTAGGCTGATTATTATTCTGTGGAAATGCTAGTTCAAATCTACGTTGGATTTTCAGAATATTCCTTTGTCTTTGCTGTCTTAAGGTTTCATATATGCTGGGTAGTGGTGGCGCACACCTTTAGTCTAAGCACTTGGGAGGCAGAGGCGGGTGAATCTCTGTATGTTTGAGGCTAGCCTGGTCTGCAGAGCTATAGTTCTAGGACAGCTAGTGTCTTGAAACACACACACACACACAAGGAAAGAAGAAGAAAAAAGGATTTTATGCACACTTGTAGAGGTATGTTTTCTTCGTGTCTTGGTTCTTTGGAATGCTCTCTCTCCCTTTCCATTTTCTTGGGTTCAGGGTACACTGCTGATTGGACTAATGAGTTACTGGCCTGGATTGATACTTTGTTTTCAGTCTCTGTTCTTATTCAGCTTTTTTTTTGGGGGGAGGGGCTAGATTTTTTTTTTATAAAGCTCAGAACCACCTGCCTGGGGAGTGGTGCTGCCTACAATGGGCTGGGCTGTCCTTCATCAATTAATAATCAAGACAACCCTTACAGATATCCCTGCAGGCCAGCCCGAATGAGCGGTCCTTCAGTTGACTGTAGGCTGTGTTAACAGTCAAGGCTGATGAGAACAACATCCTCAGGAGATACCAGTAGTTTTCTTTCGTAAAAAGAACAGACATGAATTTTTGAACTTTGCTTTCTTCTAATACATCCCGATCCATATGTAGTTGTCATCAGCTCCTTTGTTTTACCCATTAGAGTGTGCCTTAGGAAATTAAGGCAATCCCTATGGTTTTGCTGCTTCTGCTATGAGTAATAGGGCTCCCGGCCTCTTGCCCGGTCTGCCTTATACTAGCGTCTGTGAAGCTGTGGAAGACTGACTGGCTTGCATATGAGGAGCGTATCCTTGCCAGCCTTCACATCTTATAAGAGACTGCTGTTCTAAAGCCGCACATGGTTTGTCGGGATCTTCTTTCCTATCTTTATATAAAGCATTTAATTCATTTGATTCTTCCGTGGCAGTGGACCGAGGCAGGTGGTTAGCCAGTTTCTCTAGCAGTTGCAGGTTATTCAAGATTTGCTTACAGCCCACGTTTTCCCCAGTGTTGTAAAACCCAGCCTTGATCATATACTGTGTTGTGTGTTTTTCTTTTCCTTTTCTGCTGTCTTCTTTGTTCTTAGTGTCTTGATAATGTGATTCTTTATATGTTTCAATATGTAGTAAGCACAGATGTTGTTCACTTAGTATCATTTATAAATTGTTTGGTCTTTTCTGTTTACTCTCTCATATAAGGTTTTGTATTTCTGTTTTTAACTTTGAGACTGGGTTTTATTAAATAGCCTCTGCTGGCCTGCACCTTGCAGCAGTTCCCCTGCCTGTGCCTTGTAAGTGTTGGATTTATAGTCAGGGCCACCATGTCTGGCTGCCCTGTGAGTTTGGACTTAACACTGTCGTATGCCCTCCAGATGTCATACATTTAGTTGAGATTGAAAAGTGTTAAATGAATGTGGAAAACTTGACATGTCAACGTTATTGATTCTTTTTATTTAGAACACAACTTACTTTAAGCTTTCTTTTATTTGTCAGTAATTTAAAAAAAATCTGTCCTGTGTACTGATGAAATTATTCATGAGTATGAGTCATTAATTTTAAGTGGCAATTACATGCCATCAAAATGATTATTTCATTGATGTTGATGAATGAGCTATGCTCTAATAATTCTTCAACATGGATTATAATGTTCTGTTGACTGAAAAACTCCCATCAATCATGAATTTCTTTCTAGAGTACACTTGATGCTTTGAAGGATGAAGTTGTTTCTGTTGAAAATGAACTTGTGGAATTGCAGGAAGTAGAAAAACAACAGAAAACTCTCATTGACGTCTATAAAACTCAGGTGACTTGCATCTGTTTTAATGTTTACTAAAATCCATAGATGACTTAAAACACTGTGTTTCAAACTGACAGAACTGAAGAGATGGAATAAATATCTGTAACATAGTACAGCACATCTCAAACATTCCTGAAGACCCCACATGCCTTCATAAAGGTAGTCCTGCCAATTCATGGTGCTAGCACTACTTACAGAAATTTTAGATATTCCTAAGAAATTTAAAATTGATTGCAAAGGTGTGATGAGAATATTAATGTAGAATCTTGTTAGTATATTTAATGACATTGATTTAAAACAATAACTCTCACCAAGTACTTACTTTTCCTAATAAGTGATGTATAATTAAAATGTATCCACATGAAATGCATGGAAAGAAACCTATGAGGTTTGGTGAGATGACTCAGTTGGCAGTGTGTTTGCCGTGCAAGCATGAGGGCCTGAGTTTAGACCCCCAGGACCCAACTACAAAGCCGAGTGTAGGAGTATGTATTTGTAACCCAGCATTGGGGGTGGAGGTAGAGACTTAAGGGTCCTTGGAGCTCCTCTCTGGTGTAGGAGGACCTTCTGTCTTTGTGTTGCTTTCATTGGTTGAATAAAGAAACTGCCTTGGCCCTTTGATAGGGCAGAGCTTAGGTAGGCAGAGTAGACAGAACTGAATGCTGGGAAGAAGGGCAGAGTAGCAGACACTATGAATCTCCTGCCTGAGATGGACATAGGTTAGAATCTTGCTGGTAAGCCACAGTCACGTGATGAACACAGATTTGATAGAAATGAGTTAATCAAGATGTGGGAGTTAGCCAATAAGAGGCTAGAGCTAATGGGCCATGCAGTGATTTAATTAATACAATTTCTGTGTGATTATTTCAGCTGTAAGCTAGCAGGGACGACAAGCAGCCCGCTCCTCCTGTAACACTCTCCAGGCAGCTCAGCCAAATTAGTAACTCATTTCAATGAGAAACCCTGTTTCATAAAATAAGGTAGAAAATGATAGAGAAGACATGAGTACTGACCTTTGACATCCTCACAAAAGTGCACACACATGCAAATATGTACACACACATATGCATCACAGATATACAGAAGAACACACAGTGATTTATCTAAAATAGAATGTATGTCCAATGATAAGTTTTAGTTAAACTTTCAGTTTTGGAAATGCAATATTGAGGGAAAACTTTGTGGGAAAGACTCCATGTGTCCAGACGCTTGCGTGCTGGGACACAAATTGGTCATTAAGGAATGTGCTATTATTGGAAGAGTGTGCACTAAAGAATAGTGATGGACTGGGGGTGTGGTATAGTCAGAGACTGCTTGCTTGGCAAGTATGAGGCCTTGGGTTGAGTCCCCAGCATTGTGGGAAGGAGGAAGGAAGGAAAGTGTATTACAGGTAAAAGCCTAAGGTGGAGTAAAGTCTAGCAAGCAAGAGGGGCTGCATTTAGATGGGTTGGGTGGCAAAATCCAGTTGAGATCCCCAGCTGAAGTACTGCAGGTAGGGGTACACATGGAGTCTGGAGGATTGTGGTGCCAAGCACATTGAAACCCACCTGCTTGATTGGATTTAAGACCCCAGCAAGAATGCCTCATCTGAATGTCCATGTTGTGGCTGCTGGCCAGTGTGCACAGCTCACCCATGTTCTTGGGTGGATTTTGATGGAAATGGAAAATTATTGGAATGAGAGATAGTTTCCTTTTCTTACATTGAAAATGTTTTTTTTCCCCACATAATATATCCTGGTTTTGTTTTCTTTTCTCCCTCTACTTTTCCTAGTTCCTCCCTGTCTCTGTGAGGGATGTCTAGCTTGTTTCTAATTTCTGACTATTATGCATAGATCAGCAATGAATGTGACTGAGCAACTCCTTTTGTGGTAGGATGGAGCATCCTTTGGGTACATGCCCAAGAGTATAGCTGGATCTTGAGATAGATTAATTCCCATCTTCCTGAGGAACTGCCACACTGATTTCCACAGTGGCTGTACAAGTTTGCACTCCCACCAGCAATGGAGGAGTGTTTCCCTACTCCGCATCCTCGCCAGCATGAGCTGCCACTTGTTTTATTGATCTTAGCCACTCTGACAGGTGTAGGAGGAAATGACAGACCAGTTTCTTAAAGTAGCAAGGACCTGAAAGTGAAGACTGATGTAGTTAGAGCTCGAGAGAACAAGAGCATAGGCCAGAGAAGACCGAGGAGGAAGGGTGTTAGGACTGGACACCAAGAGGTCCTGCCAGGAGTAATGCTCATCAAGCACTGAGAGAGAAATGGTGAGTTCTTTAGAATACAAATTCCAAGTGAAGTAAGTGGAAACACATGATTAACTTTCTTCTTATGCTATACCTAAAATAATACATGGTACTTTACAGTCTGTGGGGTTTTTTTTTTTTTTAAGATACAAAAGTTGCAAGAAGCTGCTGAAATGGTAAAAAGCAGATGTAAAAATTTGCTACATGAGAATAACCTAATAATAAGAAACAAGAATAAGAGGTTAGAGAAGGTAAGTGTGAAGAGGAAGTACCACAGTGTTTCACACGTGTGCATCGTCTGACCCCGACTGTCGTGCTGTCTCTCCGCCATTTCCCAAGTGCGTGCCTGGAGTGGCCCTTGCAGTCTCTGTGGGAGTTCAGTATTTCCTCTTGAAATGTTTATTTGTGAGAATGTCTTTTTTTGTTATTCATGTTTGAGAAATAGAATAAATGTTTTACTTTTTTGACACAGGAATAAAGGCCCAATTATTTATTACTGAGATCTATCAGCAGTAAAATGAAAACTAGTCTCTTTTTTTTTCTATTTTTACATTTTTTGTGCCTAAAAAAATTACAAAGTAAAATTTCTCTGGTAAATGCATTTTGGGAAGAAAAATGATATCTTGAAAATCCTCTCCTTTTATTCACCCGGTTGCAACAGGAGCAGGAGAAGCCAGTGTTGGCAGGTGATGGTGTTTTTGTGAATATTTTTAGTTTTTAGATGGAACCACATTCCCTTTTGGATTTCACATTGTTTTGGTAAGGAAACAGTGAGAGAGTCACAGGACACCGGATTCTGGCTAAGAGGTCGGGGTGTTAGCCCGGAGTCCATGCTACTGTCGCTGCGGGCTGGCATATTGGAGGTTGGGAACTAAGAGGGAGCTATCACTGCTAAGACAAGGTTGTCCAGGGCAGGCCACCAGGCCACCACATGAGGAACCTGATCCTTTCCTAGAATTGTTTCTCAGCCATTTAGCAGACAAAGAAGATGCCATTTCACGTTGTCTGTCTCTCACAGGACACAGTTGTGAAAGTTCCCTTCCCTGTGAGGGAGGACAGTAAAACCTCTCAAAAACCTTTTCAGAGGCACAAGGGGAGGAACCTGGCTTTCCAGCTGTTGTCCTGACAGCGTTTTCTGGTTATAGAACTAGGAAAGTGTGTTGTTTTCAAGAAAAAATTCTTTTTACTTAGCCATTGCTTGAATTTCTTGATTTTCTCATGGTTTCTTAGCTGGTCCAGGGATGCAGAGGTGTGCTTTATTCTGGTTTTATCTCTTGTTCTGAAGATGGCCAGATGTTGCACCGAACCTGTGGGTGTCGCCAACTCAGGCAAGTTATCCCTCTTGTGTTTCCTTTATGGGAACATCGTAAACACCACATTTTAGCTGTTTATAGTTACACAGAGTGGTGTGGCCTTTTTGAAGCAGCATCACGGCTCTCTTCTTCATAGTTTACAGAAGCACTGCAGTGAGACAGGGCGGGAGGTGAGGGGAGTGCTGTGGGTAAGATCAGATTTGCTCACAGGGCAGGGCAGTAACCATATTCAGCCAAGTGAGAACTGATGGGTTAGCTGTCTACAGCAGTGCTCAGTGAACAATGCTTGGGCCAGCAAGACTGAAAGGGTCTGAGTGAGTTAGAAGACTTATGAGTTATGAAGGGATGGTCACCCGAGGGCTGGAGGACCTGTGGAGTTATGAAGGGACGGTCACCCGAGGGCTGGAGGACCTGTGGAGTTATGAAGGGCTGGTCACCTGAGGGCTGAAGCACACCAGTTCCTCAGTCACATTTATTGCGTGTGACACCTGAAGTTGGCTGATGTCACCACACTCCCTCGCCTGACAACCATTGTGAAAATGAATTAATTCTGGTTTTATGTCTCATGTAAATTAACATTTGTAAAGTGCTTATTGATAGCAAGTCTGTCTAGTCTTTAAGGTAGAAAGACTGTTCCTGCCAAATGTGTGACCTTGCATTTATTTCCCCTGATGCCACACCTCAGATGAGAGGCCAGGTGGAGTCTCACTTGAAGCAGGTAGAGCGAGCCCACCACTCCTTCACATCAGCCGAGCAGAGACTTCAGGAGTGTCAGGAGAAGCTGCAGCGCTGCAAGGAGAAGTGCACAGAGCAGGCGCACACCGTTAGGGAGCTCCAGGGCCAGGTGTCCCATCGTTCTTAGTCTTGGAAGATGCGTTAAAGGAATATTTGACATCGTTTTGCCCATTTAGGGGCACTTGGGTCGGGTTGAACTTTTTATTCCTGTCTATATCAGGGGATGGAAATATTTTCATGCAGATACTCTCCTGTTACCTTTAGCATGTCCTGGTGACACTGGGGGTTGAAGTAGATGATCCAGGTTTTTGTGTGAGTCTGCGATTGGACGTGGAGAACATAGTGCAGTGATGAATGAGAGGAGGGCAATGGGGACTTGCATGTCTGCTTCTTGACATCAGCATAAGAGAAGTAATAGTTTCCCTTGCAAAAATCAGAATGTGTTTTAGTTTGTGTGTCAAGCTTATTGGGATTGATTCCATCCTTTTACTTAGTACCTATCAACCCATCAGAACCGGGACCTTGTGTATCCTTTTAATCACCATGCTTATAGCTCCTCCCTCAATGCTTATCACCCAGTAAGCACTCATACGTGTTTTAGGGTTACTGCATGTTTGAGTCTGGCTGCCAGTCTGTTTCTGTACTTGCTACCCTTTCAGGAAGATCACTCTGTATCTTCCAAAAGAATGTGTTCACCTCTTAAAAATACCAAGCCAATTTCCATGAAGAAATTTTTCTAGAAAAATAATCATTATATTTTACTTAAGTTGCTACTTTAATGTGTGGGGGGAAATGTTTTTTTATTTTATTTTATTTTATTTTATGTGTATGGGTGTTTTCTCTGTATGTCTGTCACATGCATGCAATGCCCACAGTGGCCAGTAGAGAGCACTATATTCCCTAGGACTGGAGTTAGGGGATGCTTGTGAGCCATCACATGTGCTGGGAATTTAACCTGGATCCTCTGGAAAAGCAGCCGGTGCTCTTAACTACTGAGCCATCTCTCCAGCCCCGATGAGACAATATTTTTATTATTTAAACTACTTAAACTATTTAAATCAGACTTTGAGGCAGTGGGAAGAGTGGTCCTGACGTGAGCAGCTGTGTGTTTGATTTATTTGGGTTTGACTTTCAGTTGTATCTTCACAGTGGAGCATTGCTGATATGAGAAACCTTAAATACCTGATTAAAAATATTAAAGATTTTCACACAGTTTTTTTTTTTTTTTCATTTTGGTTTTGTTGTTTGGCTTTTGAGGCAGGGTTTCTTGTGGCTCAGGCTGGCTGTAGCCTGAGGATGAACTTGAATTTCTAATTCCCTTTCCTCTACTTCCTGAGCCAGGATTGCAGGCAGGAGCCACCACACCTGGCTTTGTATAGTGCTGGCTTTTACGTGCTGGGAAAGCTACCGGCAGCTGAGCCGCATCCCTAGGCCCTGCGTAACTAAATGTCTCTCTTCAGTAAAACACCGGCCAGGATATTTTCAGTTACCATCACATAGGGGAAATGTAGTTAATTGTCTAACATAGACGGCATCAGTTTTACAACCCAGTGAGGAGTTAGAGAGCTTGTGAGTGAGCATTGTAGATATGGCTTGGTGTCTTTCTCTGTATTTATAACATCTTGTTTCTTGTGCTTCTAAATAGAGTGTTATTTCCTTGGAAGTCAATGAAAAAAATAACTGAAAAAGTGTTGTTTTTTTCCCCACTTAGGTTGATAGGAACCATAGCCTTCTAACCAAGCTTTCTCTTGAGGAAGAGAATTATCTCATTCAGTTAAAGTGTGAGAACCTGAAAGAGTAAGTATCAAGTTGATATAACATTGATGGTGCATGTTCCCCATGCACTATAGTTTGTATGTTTGTGTGAGATGTATATGTGTGTATATATATATATGCATATATATCATATATACATATTTCTGTAAAAAGAAAGTTAGAGAAAATGGATGCAGAGAACAAGGAGCTGGAGAAGAAGCTGGCCGACCAGGAGGAGTATCTGAAGCGCAGCGACCTGGAGCTGAGAGAGAAGGCTGCAGAGTACGCAGTGCTGTCCAGGCAGCTGGAAGCCGCTTTGGAAGACGGGAGACAAAAGGTACAGATGGCCTTTATTTAGAAGCTTCCTAATTAGTTTGCCAGAGTCGTCTCCCACTGCCAAGCCTACAGCTATTGTTTGGATGCTGATGGCAGGGTGGAGGGAGCAGCTCCGTTTTTGTTCTTTACTTAATTTTCCCTCAGAGCAAAGCCCAGGGACTGCCTTTCCAGATGAGTGGCCATGTGGCGAGAGAGTGGGCAGAGATGGGAATGATTTGGAGAGCGCGCTCCTTTCACACACCTGCTCTGCGTGCGGGTGCCGTTAAATCCATGAAGCCAGCTTCAGCCTACCCAGCCTCTTGGCGTGTGGGCACTCTGATAGTGCTTCACAGGCAGGGATGGACAGGCCAGACCGAGCTCCTGGGGCACTCAGTATAGCAGGAATACCATCCTCTCTGCAGGTTCTACAGTAGAGGAGGGCTCAGGTGGCACCAGAAAGAGGGTATTTCAATTAGAGTGGAAGGCAACAGTGGGAAGACCTCAAAGAAGAGATGAATTCATCAAACAACTTGACTGGAAGAGACTATTTGAAATGGGGTATGTTTCAGGGTCAGGTAAAACCCGACACAAGGGAATCCCCAGGAATCTACAAGGATGTCCTCAGCTAAGACTCCTAGCATTGTGGATATGGAGCCTGAACTGGCCATCACCTGTGACCAGATTGGTGTTTAGCCCAATTGTCATCAGAGAGGCTTCATCCAGCAACTGATGGAAACAGATGCAGAGACCCACAGCCAAACATTAGGTAGAGTTTGGGGAGTCCTTTACAAGATGGAGAAAAAGGATTGTAGGAACCAGCAGGGTCAAGGACACCCCAAGAAAACTCACAGATTCAACTAACCTAGGCTCATGGGGGCTCACAGGGACTAAGCTGACAACCAGGGAGCCTCCATGGGACTGACCTAGGCACTCTGCATATTTGTTACACTTGTGTAGCTTGGTCCTCTTATTGAACCCCTAACAGTGGTAATAGGGGCTGTTTCTGACTCTTTACTGAGTTTTGAGATTCTTCTCCTCATACTGGGTCACCGTGAGCAGCCTTAATACATGGGGGAGGTGCTTAGTCTTACTGCAACTTGATGTGCCCTGATACCCGTGGGCAGCCTGCTCTTTCCTAAACAGAAATGGAGGAGTGGATTGGGAGTAGAAACAGAGGGGGGCTGGGGGAAGAGACTGGGAGGAAAAGAGGGAGGGGAAACTGCAGCCAGGATGTAAAATAAAAAATGAATAAATTTATTAAAACAAAATAAAACCAATAGCTTGAAAGACCATAGCAGGGTGAGGTTTGGAGTCCCAGTAGCTGGGTTTGGATCCTGGCTCTGATGCATGGTACCCTCACCAAGGGCAGGCTGCCTCTCTAGTTGGCAAATGGGTCTTGTGGGTTTCACTTGTAGGGTATGTGAGCCTAAAAAGTGACCATATCTCCACTGGGGACTCGTATTTGATCCCACTGAAGTCTACTTTGCTTGGCATCTCTATTTAACACTGACTTGCCAAACTAAACTTTGAATCCTTCCTCCTGTCTTTTATTTACTCTCTTCCTCCAAGTCCTTAGTGTCACTTCTGTCAAGGCTAAACTCGGATATCTTCCGCAGTTTTGAATTTTCCTAAGCCCCAGGAACCCAGTTGGTTCTAAGGGACACATCACTGGCTAAAAGCCAAGTGACGAAGAGCGGTGCCGATTGTCCACGTGCTCTGCAGGTTTCTCGGCTGCACCAGCCTCTGGGAGGAAAGGAGACCTTGCCAATACCAGATGCTCTCCAGCTTTTCCCCAAAGTGGTCAAAGTGCCTCTCTCTCCTCTCCCGCACTGGTGGAATGTCTGTCATTTCTGACACTTAACAAGGGCCATCATTGCTTTGTTACCCTCGTCTGCACTGAGGGCAGAGGTGTTTCCCTGAGCCCTCTCCTCTCTTCCTGGATTCTGAGCTCATGGCTGTCCTTACATTTGCATTGTGAAGAGGTCTATGAGTTGGTTCACAGTAACGTAGACCCGAATCCTCAGGGTACTGTCCGAGCAGTCCTTCCTGCTTAGCTCTTTCTTCTGGTCTATCCTTCACCTCTGTGCTCACACTTGTGGCTCCAAACCAACATTCTTACAAATGAGCCTCCTCTTCCCCGAATTTCTGATGAACATATCTGGGCTAGACTTTGTGTTAACATAAGCAAGCAAGAGAAATAGAAAAGCTCACATGCAGGCTGCATTGAAAGTGAAGGATGGAGCGCCAGTCTCGTGTGTCTGTCTAGGTGCTGTGTGCACACTGCCCCTACACTGGGTATCCCAGACACGTAGTCGGTGTTCAGTGAGACCTTGCTATGTTCCACCACGTGACTATAAATACCACCAAAAGTGGCAATTAGGCTTAGTATGTCTGAAAACTGTCAGGAGATCCCTACCCAGGTCACAAGCAGTGCAGGCCCCGCACACCTCTCTATCTCAAGTTAATTTTCCAGATAACTATGATGCATATACACTCATATATTGTTGTGCTTCTTCGGGTTAAACTCTTCCTTGTTCCCTTTGCAGTGCTGGGGCTGAACCTAGGGCCTTGCACAAGCTAGGAAAGCAGCTACCATCGAGCTGTATCCCAACTCAAGATAAAATACATTTGATACTTTCCAATGGAATTGTTTAATACCCAATTAAATCTACTCGGAAAAAAAAGTAGTGTACTATGGCTATATCAGGGCTTCAAAATATATTTAAGAAAAGCACATTTATTTACTTTATTCTTTTAATGAAAATTACAGGTTTCTGAAGAAGTAGAGAAAATGTCATCTAGAGAGAGGGCTTTACAAATTAAAATATTAGATCTGGAAACTGAGCTTAGAAAGAAAAATGAAGAACAAAATCAACTTGTTGGCAGAATGAACAGTGTAAGTATTAACATGGCTTGTATCGTAAGAGTTAGCATCTAATGTGCATTTCCTGAAAAATGGACAGTGTGCGTAATAGCACGGCTTATATTATAAAAGTGTAAGTATTCGCATGGCTTGTTTCATAAGGGTGAGCATCTAACATGCATTCCTGTAACTTTGATAGATCTTAAAGTGCAGATGGAGGTGAGCCAAGACTTTTGTTTTGCTACAAATACTAGAAATGACAAATAATAAAAGTGCAAGAATGTGCTGTTGCCATCTTGCCAGAAGATTCGCTGCCCTGCTGGATGGCAGCTTCAGTCACACTGACTCCGAGTCTCATCAGGGAAGGCTCCTGATGAGAAAATTTAAATTTTTATTTAAATTTTCATCTTTTAGCCGGGCGGTGGTGGCGCACGCCTTTAATCCCAGCACCCGGGAGGCAGAGGCAGGCGGATCTCTGTGAGTTCGAGGCCAGCCTGGTCTACAAGAGCTAGTTCCAAGACAGAAACCAAAAGCTACGGAGAAACCCTGTCTCGAAAAATCAAAAAAAAAAATTTTTTTTTCATCTTTTAAAGATACATGCAATCTAAAGTTATGAACTGGATTTTATATCTGTCTTGATTAATGAGTATATCTTAGAAAGATATGATTTTAATATTCACCACTGTTCAATCTGCATAAGTGCTGGATGCTTCGGTCCACTCAACCGTGAAATGAGAATACCAGATTGGCTGTGTTTAACTCCTCTCATATTTTTCCTGAATATTCATGAAATAGTCTATTGGCATAGGATAATCTTCAAGTTGGCATTGGTTGTGCTTAAATTACTTAATAACTGTCTACTTGATAATTACATAGGAAATGTTGGTGCTTTATTTTTCCAGGAGTTGGAAGTTCTGAAAACTCTTTTTCAATTTCCTTTAAAAAGATGTAAACCTAAAAGGTTCAAAAAGTTAAATTATTTTGACATACATTGTTTAGTCTTATTGCCTTCAGATGTTTAATGAAAACTTAATCAGTAAAACATTCATCATTTTTAATTTAACACAGCTGTTTGCTGGGTTTCTAAACTTACAAACAAACAAACAAATAAATAAACTCCTCTTCAGGATTCCCGGTATTGTAAAATATGTGTGATGTTCTTTGTGCAGTTGAAGCCCCTGAAAAAAATAGACTGAGATGAGATGGATTTCTCTGTGCTGTATTTAAGACTTTGCTAAATCTACTAAAATAAATGGGTTAAGATCTGATGTCAGACCTCATAATTGTTCTGCTAGTACACAGTCTGGAATTCTGAGCCTAAGTTTAGAGAGAGCTAAAGATGAGTTCATGTGTCCTGTGCCTTCCAGGGCACAGACAGTTCAGCGGGTAATTAGAATTCACACGCACATACATTGGCCAGACCAAGTCGTAAGTGCTCAGAGAGCCGGAGCCTGGCCATAGTTGATCGTCTCCAGTGTCTTCCATAGTACACTGCCTCCCCGACAAGCCTTCTCATGGTTGTGGTTGAATACTTTGGTCGGGAGGTAGGGTGGATGCACAGCTTCACAACCATGACAACCCTACAGAAGCCACAGGATCTGTCAGAGTTCATTTGCATTTGCATTCTGCTGTGCAGTGTGTGATTGTGTGGCTACTATTTCCTCCACACTGCTGCTCCATAAAGACCATCCCCATTCACTCTGTGACTTGTGTGGTCTGATCTATTGCATTACCACACACTACCTGCTTCTGCTGGGCACTGCTCAGTTTCAGCTGCTGTGTAGGAAGTCCTGCTAGGAGAAACCCACAGGGTCTGTCTCTGTTCTTGGGGTGTTTCTGTTTTAGCTGAAACACGTCTTCTAAATGCTTGCTGCATTTGCCCACCTAGAAACCTGTCATAGCCAAAGTCCAAAAACCTGTATGCGTGTAGAACTTCTTCCTCAAAGGACATGAATTAAGTTTTTAAAGAGTTTAGGAGAAAAGGTTACCTTATCAAAACAAGAGTTTTGTCAGTTTTTAAAATAGCTTCCTTTCTGAATGCATATTCTAATGGTACAGCAGATATTTGAACTGTGTAGACTTTGGATCTGGTTAATTTTGATGCTTGCTATTTTTAATTATTTGAAAAAAAATTTTATAATACAATTTATAAAATAAAATTTAAAACATTTTTATGTTTTTTTTTTTGTTTGTTTGTTTTTTTCGAGACAGTGTTTCTCTGTGGTTTTTTGGAGCCTGTCCTGGAACTAGCTCATGTAGACCAGGCTGGTATTGAACTCACAGAGATCCGCCTGCCTCCGCCTCCCGAGTGCTGGGATTAAAGGCGTGCGCCACCATCGCCCGGCCCATTTTTATGTTTTATGGGATAAAATATGATATTTCACAGAAAAATGACAAAAAAGAATATGAAAAGATGTCATGTGAAGCATAATAGGAACTAGTAATGTCTGCCCTAAATAAAGTTATCTTTTTTTTTTAAAATATTTATTTATTATGTATACAATATTCTGTCTGTGTGTATGACCGCAGGCCAGAAGAGGGCACCAGACCCCATTACAGATGGTTATGAGCCACCATGTGGTTGCTGGGAATTGAACTCAGGACCTTTGGAAGAGCAGGCAATGCTCTTAACCTCTGAGCCATCTCTCCAGCCCAAATAAAGTTATCTTAATCACATTAAATCTCTAATAATCTAAGGCTAAGTAAATGTATTACAGTAAACGATCAAAGTAGAATGATCAACCATAGATGTTTTAATTGCTAAGGATATCGTTTTAAAGAAGATGATATTTAAAAATTCTTTGGTAAAATTGACATATTTGATTATTTTGTATATATTTATAACTTCATCTTGTAAATGAATGCCATACTGAGTATCTGTTCTCTCTTCATCTAGAAAGCCCAACACCAAGATATCTGTTTGAAAGAAATACAGCACAGTCTTGAGAAGTCGGAGAATCAAAATGAGAGCATTAAGAATTACCTGCAGTTTCTTCAGATTTCCTATGTAACGATGTTCAGATAAGTTGTTGAATTCATGACCGCTGATTGTCATACTTTAGGTTTATAGGTTACCAGTGTTAGGGTTTGTATGTGAAGATAATTGAGACATAATTTATTATATGATTGAAACTTTAAGAAATGATAACTCTTAGTATTCCTTTGTGGTAGATAATTTGCATCGAACTCTGGTTTAATTCTCTTCTAAAAAAATTAATTTTTAAAGTATTTTTATCTATATATGCAAGAATCAGAATTATTCTTATGAACCATTGAATAAATTTGTAATAATCTAGGCCAATTATGAGCCAAATACATGGTTTTAAATAATGTGTTTGCTTGTTTTATATTGTAATGCTATATAAATAAAATATTTAGAAATTTAATTTTAATAATGATATAACATGTTCTAAAGATAGCAAATGTCTCACCGTACTTTATATTGCTCCGAGTATATGTTGAGTTCCCATCATCGTTTCTATGTGACTTTATATGTAAACTATTAAATCATAACTATCCAGTGCCTGCTGATGGTAGCAGAACAAAACATGTTGTTAGCCTGTTCCTTTTTATAGGCATTCAGGCCATCCTGTGAAGCCAGAGCTCCTTTTATCTTGTGTTGGGATTGTCTGATGTTGCTACTACAGATACCTAGAGTCTTGGTGCTAATGAGAAGATCAAGAGGAGAACAGCTTACTCTGCCTTTCCCATGGCCAAATCACAGGGGATGACTAAAATTACTCATTCCTACCACTAAGAGGCTTTGGATAAGGCCTTTTATTTTCTTTTTGAGACTATAATATAATTACACTTCTCCCTTCCTCTTCTTTTTCCCCCCAAAATGTCACTGCTCACCTTCAAATTTGTGACCTTTTTTCCCCTACAAATTGCTATTGCATCTCTCTCTCTCTCTCTCTCTCTCTCTCTCTCTCTCTCTCTCTGTGTGTGTGTGTGTGTGTGTGTGTGTGTGTGTGTGTGTGTGTGTGTTTTAAATATAAGCTGTTCATTGTTGACAGAGGTTTTTGTCCTGCCCTGTTCCCACAGTCATTCAGTCCTAATGAAACATACAGAGGTTTACATTAATTATAAACTGATTGGCCTAGTACCTCAGGCTCTATTAACTCTTATAACTTACATTAGCCCATAATTCCTGTCTATGTTAGCCATGTGACTTGGTACCTTTCTCTGCGAGGCAGTCACATCTTGCATCCTCTGAGGCTTTGTCATGACTGCAGACTGAGCTTTCTTCTCCCAGAATTCTCATTGCCCTACCTCTGGCTTCCTGCCTGGCTACTGGCCAAACAGTGTTTTATTAAAGTACAATTGACAGGGTACAAATGATTGTCCCACAGCAGTTCAGTATATATAATGTTACTTATATGTAAGTCTCCAGGGCTGCCATTTGGCACCGGACAGCCAGTTGGCATGCTCTCCCCTGAGGAGGACTGTCTTTCCTCTCTCCCAGCTCTCCTCAGTTGCCTGTACTTCTTTGTGTAGGGCTGAGGCCTCATGGGCTTTTCCCTGTCCACTTTGGCATGACTACTAGTGTCATCTTTGTTCAGCTCATGATTGCGCAGCCATGTTGGTAAGACCTTATGGGTGCAGCTTCTGATGTTACTAGGAGACACAGTCCTCGATTCCCCTGCTGTGAGAGGCTTTCTGTCCCCTCTTCCAAATGTTTCCTGAACTTGAGAAGCCTGTGTGTTTGGTAGGTGTATTGAGAAACTTACCTGACTATGTAGTGCTAGTGAAATCATAGAGAATCTTCAACTACTGACCTACTAAGCCAGTATAATTCCTAACAGCCATCTATAGACATTTGCTCTTAAACCCACAAATAAGTGTAGTAGGTATTCACCCCTCATCAAGGAACCTCCTCTTTGTAACAGAAAGCTACATCCAATCAGAATGCAGAGTTGAGGAGCCCAGTCCCAATGGGATAAGGTCTTTATTACTATTGACATGAAGTCAAAGGGAGCTCAAGAATCTGTTTGCTGTCATTCCTCCCACAGTGTGCCACATTGATCCACAGGGATCAATGATTATAACCGCTCTTGGAGAGTGGCTGAGTATTGTTCACAGAGCACTTACTCATCAAAGATCAACTGGCCTGGCATAGTGGCTCAGGCTTTATTAATATTCTAATTACTTTGGAGGTGGAACCAGGAGAATTGAAAGTTCAAGACCTGTATAGACTTCAGTGTAGGGATAGCCCAGCTCATTGGGGGGCGTGTTTGCCTCGGGCTAATGTTTGCCTATAAATCTGGCGGGCATGAGCACCGGTCTCTTTTTTTTGTATCTCCTGCTCATTGCTGGATTCCTAGTGTTGTAAGCTATCCCTTCATTAAAATTTGCTGTTTCATATTAAGCTAGCCTGGTTATTACGCCGCTTACAGTTTGGCGCCCAACGTGGGGCTTTTCGGATACCTGCCCGGAATCAGAGTCTCCTGGGTGGCGACCGCTGGGAGCCAGTGCCCGCCCCCCCCCCTGGAGGCCTCTCCCTCCACGCAGATTGTACCCTCTCAGCACAGCTCCTTGCCAGTCCGCTCTGACCGACTACAGCGGCAGAAGCAGCTGAGCTTCTGAGTCACTGAACATCTGCAACGACTCAATTTTTCGTGGCATTTGCTAGAAAGTCGGCAAACGGGACTCCTGAAGGGCAACTTGGCCCAGGTGGTTCGGCAGATAGCTGAATCGGCCCCGCACGAGTCTGTGCGCCCATGCGCTCAGCCCTGCCCGACAGTGGTGCAAGCGCCTCTGTATTCAACACCTCCCCCCCCCCCCCCCCCCCCCCCCCCCCCCCCCCCCCCCGCCCGCCCCCCAAACACCTATCAGTACACAACGCCACTCCGCGCAAGTGACTGCTCTGTGTCCCCTCCCCGCGGGTGGCTGAGTCCGGCCTTGGCTCTGCCCCGTTTCCTAGCACCCAGGAGGCCAACTTAGTAAGACCCTGTCTCAAAGAATGAAAAATCAGGAAAGATTGGACATATCGCTCAGCAGTAGATTTCTTGCCTAACATGTAAGTTCTGGGTTCAGGCCTCAGTACCACAAATAATAACACAAAATAAAAAAATAAATGTTAGTAGTAGAGTCATTCATAGAGACAAACAAGGTCTCTCTTTGTAGCCCAGGCTAGTCTTGAGCTTGTGGCTCTTCTGCCTTAGCCTTCCAGTTCCCAAAGTCAGTCATTTTCCACTTCATCCAGCTTCTAGTTTGCTAAAGTAGCACAATACAGAATGTCAGAAACTGGTTTTCTCTCACAGTTGTTGCCCTTTTACTTTGATTTAGTCCATCTGAGTTCTTTGTTGGTTCTCCTAGGGCCTAAGGAAGTATTCCTAAGGCTCCTGAGCACTCCCTACCAGCAGACATGTATGCCTTCTTGTTGGTGTCTTGCGCCCTACATAATGCTTTGCTGTACACTACTCGGGTGATGGATATGGAAAGAGCTGGCTTGCTTGAGTTAATGTTTTGGATAAGAACAAAACAGAAGCGTAAAGAAATCAACTGCTATGGCTGCAGTGTGAAACTCGAGTTCTAAAGCTGGCATTGGAGCTCAAGTCTGTGACTACAAATTCAAGTTCTGCTGTAGCCACATCAGAGCAGGGGGTGGCTCTTAGCTAGGAAGCACTGATGCAGTCCCGTTCTAAATGTGATCTGTGAGTGGCTCTCACTTTCCAGGAAACTGAGAACTTAGAAGTCAAGGAACTCACCCTCTTCACACGGCTGGCAGTCGGGAGGCCTGCCGCTCCACATGCTCCGGCTGTCCCGTCTTCATATGACCTCTCACAAGAATATGCTTATGTATGCATGGATGGTTTGTGTCCTTAACTGTGCATCTGCATCAGAGTAACTTCCGCCTGTAGCCTTCAAGTGTTTGTACCTTCAGTGTTTTGGATGGAGTGTGAAAGGAAGGATGTTGTCTCACAGCATCTTTATAGTTGGTACTTTGCAACAAGGATCTAGATAGACCCTGACAGTGGGAATTTCACAGTCTGTGTGCTTTGTGCTTCCCTGTGAGGCACTGAGTCCCAGCACCCCTGAGACCTCAACAGTGCCCACTGTCCCTGAGCGATTTTTGTGTCCCAGCTTCCCACCACCCCAGCAAACTGTCTCCCCATTGTTGTAGCAGATTTGGGGATTTTCTTTGTTGTCGATATCCAGGCCTTGAGATGTTATTAATTTCTACAAGTTTTATTCTGCTCGGTTTATTATCACTTTGTCCTGTGTTCTCCCTTCCCTTTGGTTCTCTGGATCAGGATCTGTCACTAGGCTTCTCGGAAGGGTCCACCTGATTTTTTTTGACCACTAATAAAGTTTTGGAACAGTGTAATTCCCCTTTTCGGTTGGAACATTGGATTTTTTAATCTAAAACTTATGTGTTTCTTAATTCCTAAAAGCACTCTTGAGTTATGTAATTCCATTGTATTTTCATTTTCGCCAGGGTCCTTTTCTGTCTCTTCCATTGGTTCTACTTAAGCAGGCTTCTCTTATTTTGGTCTGCTGGCCTTCCTGCCGTCCAAGCCTCACAAGTGAGCTTCAAGTTTCCTTGCCTACTTAAGGCTGCGGTTTCCTCAGCACCTGCCAACAGCCTGTTGTGCACATCTGCTGAGCAGTGGCAGACCGAGTGGTGAGAGGTGTGGAGACCTTGGTTCTCAGGCAACTCTGAGCCACGCAGCCGTCTGCAGAGGCTCAGCGAGGAGCTCTTCTGCCCACAGTCTCTCTTGGTTATAAGCAGCCATTCTTTCTCAATACAAAGATTGGTACCCCTTCAAGTCCTTCTGGGATCAACAGGTCTGGGAAGGTAGGCATACAACCAATGGAGTCTTCATTCTTCTGCAGAAGTAAGCTGAAAGTACGATCCATCGTGGAAGGAACCTGCACCACCTTAAAGACTTGGGTCTTGCCTGCTGATCTGTGATGTCTTCATATTTTTAATTAAAAAAAAAATCCCAAGATTTTGTGTTCATAGTAAACATATTTTGTTTTTGCTTGCATGTAAGTTGACACATGTTTGGAGCTGCAGGGATGTGGACATGCCTCCATGCTTTGGTAGGCTGACGAAACCACTCAACTTCCTCTTTGTTTTGCTTATCCCTAATGCAATTTTACTACTTTTATGTTAATTTTTTACTAAGATAAATGACAACCTTGAAGACTTGTCAGCTGGAAGAGGAGAGTAGGTGTGGGGGGTTGGTGAGAAGTCGTGGTTCAAGAATGAAGTGCTGCGATACGATTTTCAAAGCTGTAGTAATTTTAGATAAGAGGGACAGTGATGAGAGGACTCCCTGAGGTTAGGAAGGTAGCCACTAGAGTCAGATTTTTAAAAAGGGGGCACAGTCCTAAACAGAGAACTCTCAACAGAGGAATCTAAAATGGCTGAAAGACACTTTAAGAAAATGCTCAACATCCTTAGCCATCAGAGAAATGCAAATCAAAACAACTCTGAGATTCCATCTTACACCTGTAAGAACGGCCAAGATCAAAAACACTCAGGACAACTTATGCTGGAGAGGATGTGGAGCAAAGGGAAC